TATGAAATGATCAAATGCCACGCAAACACTATAGAACAATACATCCTTGCTTGGTGGTGTTTCAAAAGTCTATACAAAAAAAAAAACCTTCTGGGGAGCCTTAAGTGGATTTTTTTTTTTACACCATAAAGTGATTATTAAGTTTTCTTTTTACTCTATGCCTAGCTTTTTATTATCTCTTGGACTACATTTGCCAATAACACATATAAAAGACTGGTATAACAATAGCAGAACACAAAACATTATGGTATTTCTCCTAGTGGGATGCAAACTAATGAGATGTATTAAAATAAAAATGGTATACCTATGCATAATTTTCTAGACGTTTCTTGGTTTATGTTCCCCAACCTCCCCCGTAATTTAAAACATTACATAAAAAGAAAAAGAGAGAGATGTGCGTAAACAAATCATAGGATATCCATGCAAAAGTCCTTCTTTTTCCTTTAAGACTTATGCCAGTTGCCTACTAGTGATATTGTGTTAGCAATTGTCATTCTTATCAGTATACAGATACTTTTATTTCACATGTTGGAGCTGTGTGAAATGTACAAATTCTTGTATCTGCATTGTACAATGTCATGGTGGCATGGGAACTACCTTGCTGCAAATATTTGAACAAAACCTAAAATTCTTTATTTTTGGTAAAATGTTATGCTTTATGTGTATTCAACAGAAATATGTGTTTTTGTAAAGGTGAAGTTTGTATTTTTATCTAAAAATTAACAGTTTTATATACCTGAGAAAGCCTGCTATGTTTTCTTGAACCAAAAAAAAAAAAGAAAAAAAAACTAAAAAAAAAACATTTTGTGGTCATATTTTTGTAGTAGAATAGCCCAAATAACATCCAAATCTATTTTAACTATAGCAGGGCAGATGAAATACTCTGGCATCAGCTCCTGTGTTTTCAAAGTGCCAAAGGATTAAATGCGGAGCTCCCCACGGATTGGAGTGGGAGCCACACGGCTGCATCCTTGTCTGCTGCTTTGGAAATGTAGGGCTGTGCCAGACCGGGACACGGCTCCTCGCCTGGCCGGAATCACTGCCCCAGCCCAGTAGTCTGGATTAGGTACCCTGTGTTTTATTCGGAGTACTGCATTGGATATGTAAAAGGAACTACTGGATTCTCTTCTTTGTAAAACATCTACAAAGAGATGAAAGCGTTTTCTCTCCTTTGTTTGGAACGACAAAAAAAAAAGTTTGTCTTGAAGACAGCGTTTCCACTCCAATCAAAAATATCTTGAAGTGTGAATGAACTGCAGATCCTTATAACAGGAAAAAAAAAAGAGTGAGATTTTTAACCTTTCCATTTCTAAATATAGTCCAACTGTTCCCCTCTTGTTCTGTAGCTATGTCCAACCTCAACCAAACAAAGCAATGTTAGCTAACAGGCATTATTGGCTTCAGATGCTAATGCAGAGATAGAGTTAGTCATCATTCTATTTTGTGATCATTTTCCCAGTGTATTCGTTGAGCACCAAAACTGGAAATACATTTAACTAAGATTGTCTGTGCTTGTTTTCCACTAAGTGTACTGTTCACACTGTTATGCACATGAATGTATGTGTCTGCGTTGAAAAAGAAAGTGTATAAAATGTAATTTATATATTTATGTTTCAGTGGGATGCCAATAATGTTGCTCAGTTCTTTTTATTTTTTTGTCTAAAAGATATCTAATGAAAAAAAAAAGTTCATATATCCATTAAAATCATGTAGATAAAAAATGTTACGTGACCCACTCAGACACTGTGCAGGTATGAAAGGATGTCAAAGTCACTTAAGTGGAATATTTGCAAAAGAGTTTTTAAGAGTCCTGTAGCTGCCCTGGCGTTAAGAAGGTTGCATTCGGATCTGTGGGCCAGATTTCCTGGAGTAACTCCATTGGATGCAGTGGAGCTCTGCTGATTTACACCACCAGTGAGTCTGGCCCTATATTTAATTCTTGAAATTAAAAAAAAAAAAAAAAGCAATCTGAAAGGCATGCATTTGATTGGTGCCAGCAGAGAAATGTGTTATGCCAAATTCAGAAAACCATGAGAGAATGAAGACCGAATGGAGACTTTTCCAGTAATCGTTTGTTTGAGACTCGTAGTCTCTAGTTAATTTTGTTACCGGGAATGAAACGCACATGAGTCTTTGTTCTCAAGCACAGTGTTTATACGGCATGCAACAGAAAACACACAAAATCTCAGGGCTATATTCTCAGCTAGTATAAATTGGCAAATATTTTTGACTTCAGCCGCCCCTAAGCTAATTTACATCAGATGAGGATCCAGTCCACAGTTTTTTTTTAAATAAGAGCAGTAGTGTCATGACACGTGCGCCATTCACTGTAGTCCAGCTGCAATTTTATCCAGCCTTACAGGCCGTGGTAGTGTCCTCCTTGGAGATGGCAGATACCACCAGAAGGAAGAGTTGCATTAAAGGTTGTGACACAAGAGACAGTAATTCAAAGTTAAGTTGGACATTTCAAGGGCCATATCCTCAGTTGGTGTAAATCACCATCGCTCCATTGCCTGCAGTGGAGTTGTACCAGCTTACACCACTTGAGGGGCTGGTCCCTCATTCTTGCCCATCCCTTTCGCTACTTGGTCCTGCAGGGATCTCAGACTGTCGTGTACTGTTAATGTAATCCTGTGTTCTCTAATACTTAAGCACAATAAGTGAATATAAGAATGAGCGTCAGACTTAACTTTGAATGTCCAAGCTCTGAAATGGTTTGTTTCACCATTGTGGCTGTAAATTAAACAGTTCTCTGTGCATTTGTGAATGCTGTGTCCTATCTTCTTCCGCTGTCTCCTGGAGGTGGATTCCCATCTGGACTGTCCATGTGCAACATTTGGAGTGTTACAGGAAAGGGTGTGAGCAATAGGAGTCTTGAGATGTCTGTTTGAAATTCTGTTATTTGGGAAGTGGGGGGCTAGTGGGGGACTTGATGGGGGAATCGAAGGTGATAGTTGGCTGTAAGTCACGTTTCCACTGAATCCTTTAAAACTTTGTTGTTTTGTCCTTGAACGTTGCAGGGATTTGGGGGTCAAATGCTTTTCTGTTCAACACTGTAATCTCTTCCACTGTTCACAGATTCTGGTTTCATCCTTTTTGAGGTCTTTGCTGGTTAAAAAGCATGTGTGGAGGGAACTGGTGGAAAACAATCTCAGTGTTCCGATACTGGTGCCTGATCACTGTTTCTGTAGTCGGTTCCTTCCGTTTAATTCTGTGCTTCATCTTTTCAGAGCTGCCCTGCAGTGGCTTTGGTTGAGTGAAACGAAGGATCCCCTGCCCGCTTGCTTTCCTTTTCCTCTCTCCTCCGTCCTGCTTGGCATCCGCTTTGTGCACAGTGACTGCAGGCAGTTGCTGCTCAGGCTCCTGGTGCTTCCTAGACAGCTTGAGCTCTAATGTGTCTTAAGCTTTCTACTCTGCTTGGACTGGCATCTCACAGGTCTCCTCCCTCCGGCCGGTGTCAGCATTCCAGCTGGGAAGTTCTCAGCCATCCTCCTTGGGTCGGCAGCACATCTCCTGCTGTGGAGAATTCCTGCTCTTCTCTGCCTGACTGTAGGGAAGCCCAGACTTCCCCATTCCTCCATCTCTGCCTCTCAGAAACCACTTCCCTTCCTAGGTTCTTTCTCATCATATCTCTCTTCTCCTGCCTGAGAGAACAGCCTTTGATCTGTTTATCTCTAAATCAATTGCTTTATCTAGGCATGTGTCCTGAGATCCTCTCTCCCAGGTGCAGAGGCCCATAACTGACCCCTACATGAAAGACAAATGCTGTAACATAGACATGCACTTGAGGAGGGAAAAAGATTCATCTTTGTATTTGGAAAAATATCCATTACTGAAAGCTTCCCGCTAAAGCCCTGTCCAATACCAGTAATAGTAGTGTATATCTGGAATAGTCATGTTGAAGCTATTCCAGACATCTGACAGTTCAACTAAGATCAGCGACCCAGTTTATAATTTAATTAGAAAATGTGCCCAAAAGCAAAGATGAATTTTCAAAGCTTCCTCAGATTTGGATGATCGCATTTTACTGTAAATTGAAGGAAATCGTGTTGGTCGGCCCCCTCCGTGGCTTTGAAATCTTATCCTGAATACTTATCTGACCCTCTCTTGGGCTGGAAATCTTGGTTGCTTTAAAACAGAAACAAAGTGCAGTTACATATTTGTTTTCAAGGAAGTATTTTTTTTTCTGGGGTTGCTACTCCTCCTTCTAGTGCTACCAGTTCCCAGAAACACAGTCAAACCCATGAGGACCCCACTTAAGTTTGCTTTAATTCCAGGTAACAGAGGGAAGCTGTCAGTATCTACTCCCAAAACTTCAACTTATACTTTGCATTTTTCATTTTACTTAATGAATGTGTGTTTTCCCACAATTTAATAACAAGGTATTATTTATGTCTGAGCTTTTCTGTGCTGCTCTTTGCTGTAGCGTCTCACTGCAGCACAGCCTTGAACAGGTTTGAACCCCTCTGAAATAAAGAATATTGTTATCCCATTTTAGGCGAGACCGAGGCATGGAGACATGACTGTGCAAGGTCACACAGCAAGGCTATGGCAGAACCAGGGATAGGACTCAGATCTGAGTGCTCATCCAGTGCCCTAAATCACACGACCATCTTCCCTTTCCAAGAATGAATCCTTGCACCCTTAGAGCTAAATACTGAAAAGATTGAGGGTAAGTCATTTTGCCTAATTATTGTGCATTGGATACATGATCAAAAACCACTGCTGTATCATCAGAAAGTGTCATGACTGATGAAAAAAGAGCTGTCTGCCCATGCAAATACACATGTATTTTAT